GCACAGTTAAGCACTTTGAGTGGCCATTTCTACCTCTGTAGAATAGAATGCCTCTCCTCAGGTTGCTGTGAGGGTCACATGAGATGACTTATGATAATAAGTGACTGACATGTTGAAGGCGTCCAAGAAATGATAGCTGCTTCCTTCAGTACCCCCGGGTATGGCCACTTTGGGGAAAGTTTCCTTATGTGATTGTGTGGAGGGTTCCCACAGGGTTCTTCTGGCTTGAATCCGTTGACGTTCTGTGAAGTGAGGAACAGGTCCTCCCGAGTTGAACACTCAGGTTTTCTGGGAACAGACAGTATTAACTCATGAAACAGTTTTTAGAGCAACACAAGAGTAGTTTCTAAAATACATTGAAAATATTTCAAGAATCTAAATGCACTTTGGATCTTTCTGATTGACGGAAAGGAAGGTAGTACAGTGGGTAAGTTACAAATTTAGGAAGAAGTATTTTTTTTTTAAACTGTTTTGTTAATTCCCTTACCATTTCCCCTCCTCATTCACGGGCCCCTTTCTTTGAAAAGCTTCTTCATCTTAGGTCCTGGGCATGCACAGTTACACTGGACATGTCCCTGCCCTGGCTGAGTGTGGAGTCCTGTGACCTGACCAGTCATGGTCAGGCACAGAGGCTAGGGGTTCCCATGCTCCCAGCTGCCTAACTCCCTCACATATGACTCTCCCACCTGCATCCGTCACTGGACCCAAGTGAAAGCCTGCATTTTTTCTTGCACATGCCATTACGAGATAGCTATTCAAGCGCTGGGCACACTCAAGCCAGAACTTAAAACATTCTAGATTGTGGTGGCATAAAAGCCAAGGGAGAGGTTGCCAGGCTATTCATCCCAGAATCCCGCTGCATTTTTTATTCCAGTCAGGTAAAATCATTAGCATTTCCCCTATGCTGTGCCTTTGGAGAACACAAGGTTAGGGTATGTGAAAGATCAATGGAGATTTTCAAGCCAAGGTCTAGAAAAAGAGAACCTTCAAAATCGTTAAGTACGAAATGAGAGTTTGTTATCATTTTTAAAGTTTTAGATTTTTACTATCTTTCTTGGAATTTGGGATGATTTCCAGGATGTAGGTGTAAAATAGATGCATCCTCCAGTTAATAGTTGCTCCAATTTTTTGTTTTTGTTGATTTTAGCCTCTATATAGTGTCTGTTCTTTTAAACAAATTTTTCACAGCTGTTCAACACAAAACAGCGTTTGGCTCTTTCAGCTCTTCTGAATGGTCTTACTGGATCTGCTGCATGCATTCTTACAAGTGGTGTAAAAATGTTATTTCCACAGGTAGACTGTAGGATTAGTCTCACTGCTGCATCTTGGCTTAGCAGTGGGTTAGTAGTTTTCAATGAACAGAATTGATCTGTCTGCTTATATACTATATACTTCTCTCGTATATCATAGAGAAATGGCCAGCACAAGCATCTTTTCAGAGATCAGTGAATTTTAGGGCTTCAAAGGACCTTAGAAGTTACCTCATTTTGGGGTGCCTAGGTGGCTCAGTTGGTTAAGCGTCTGACTTCAGCTGAGGTCATGATCTTGTGGTCTGTGAGTTCGAGCCGCACGTCGGGCTCTGTGCTGACAGCTCAGAGCCTGGAGCCTGCTTCGGATTCTGTCTCCCTCTCTCTCTGCCCCTCCCCCACTCACACTGTGTCTCTGTCTCTGAAAAGTGAATAAACCTTAAAAAAAAAAAAAGGAGTTACTTCATTTAATGTCCTTCTTTGAGTTGATAGTAGGTAATTGAGGGCTAGAGAGGTTATGGGATTTACCTAAGGACCTCAATTAATTAACAGCAAGAATTAGAATTTTTTAAAAAAGTTTCTGAATCTCTAACTTAAATCAAATGTTTACTAAGATGACTAGCTAACCATATCTCCCTTGGTAGTATTTTGTATGGAACTAGAAGTTTTCAAGCTATTTGTAAATTTATTTTACTTGTTTTTAGAACACCATTAGCAAACTGGTGTATTCCCAAAGCTTATGAAGTAGTTAAAATGACATTTGTTATTACAGATTTTTTTTTGAGGTTGTATTTTGTGTTTAATAGAAATGTTGGAAAGATGCAAATTGTCTGTGTTTTAAACAAGAAAATAACTCTTGCTTTTTTCAGTACTTACTTACTTTGAAGTAGAGACCAAATATGAAAAGTGCTGGTTTTCTTGAAAAGCTGTACATTTTTAATATTCATGGACCAGAATGTAGAAACTGGGATTATAATCACTGTAGTAAAACTAGGTTTATAATTTGTAAATTCATAAAATATGGACTTACAAAGTATGAATCCTGGGCACTGCTCCTACAGGAATTCAGATCAGCAACTGATTCCTGCAGTTTCTATGGTTTTTAAAACAGATACAGTCCTGTAGTGTGGGAGGGTGGCTGCCCTTGGCATTAAGTGGCTCTGCCCATCAAGTTTGTTTTGCCTACACTTCCTTTGAGATAAATAGGATTTGTGTGCTGGCACCTCTTACTTGTCTCCATGCCCTGCTAAGCTTGGTGTGCAGTGGCCCGTGGTTATTAAAATCCTTATCACCATAAGGAGTTAATTATGAGCATAGTTATTTTCTGGGATTAGAAAGGCCTGCTGAATTCAACAAGTGACTCAAAAATAGTCTTACATTTCCTACTAGTTAAAAGTGTGATTAATACCAGCAGTTAGTTCCTGTGATTAAACTGCTAAATGCAGGAATTCAGGAGGTAATAAATAGGTGAGCAAGGTAAGGAGCCATAAGATATAATTTAAATTTGAGTTCCTCAGACACAGAAGAGTTGGCCTGCATAAGATAAACTCCTTTTAATGCCATGAAACTAAATGAAATCTGTTTTACATAAAGGGGCCACTTTCACAGACTGCTGTCTGGGTGTGGCTGTGTGCCCTTAAATGGAAGGCAAGACCATTCTTGTCCATTAAACTGGGATCAGTTAACACCAGGAGACCTTGAGAAGACTTTTCATTCTGCTCTGCAGAACTTCAGCTTTTTCAACATTTAAGAAATAAAAAGACAAATGAAATGGCCTTGTTTTTTCCTCCTGGGGCAGCTATTTTTAATTTTTTTGCACAATTACCTGATGGGATTGTAGCCAAAACTGAATGCTGATAGGTAACATTTGAACTTCTTCCCAAGGCTTAGTTGGTTTATTCCATATGTTCTGCATTTTGCAGTTCAAATTTTTTTTTAAATTTTTTTTTTTAATGTTTTTATTTATTTCTAGGAGAGAGAGAGACAGCGTGAGCAGGGGAGGGTCAGAGAGAGAGGGAGTCACAGACCGAAACAGGCTCCAGGCTCTGAGCTGGCAGTCAGCACAGAGCCCAACGCAGGGCTCGAACGCACGAACCACGAGATCATGACCTAAGCGAAAGTCCGACGCTTAACCGACTAAGCCACCCAGGCGCCCCTGCAGTTCAAATTTTTAAAAATTGACTACATGATGAGGTCCCAACAGTTTATTTTTGCTCTTGATTCCCTTGCTTTTGGGGATGTGTGGAAACTAATTTGACAATAAACTATTTGTAAAAAAAAAAAAAAAAAATTGACTACATGATTGTGTGTCTTGGGCCCTGAATAAAATAAGCTGTGTGTTGACTGGATATGCTGTGATACAAGGTGAGGTACCCTTTAATGAGAGCTCTCTGGGGCAGTGGACACTCAAAGCTCAATTGTTCATCGATGGAATATTAATTCTGTTGGAATTTCAAAAAGGATGCTACATTAATTCCACTGAGCTGGGTTTTGGGTTCTGAATCAAGAAAATGCATGGTCCGTTTATATGTGTTGGGTTTATAATAAAGTTCGCTGCACAGGCAGAACTTTGCCAGTTCAGAATAATTTGTAAAATCCCTAATTTGGAAACTGATTTATTCAGAAAACCATTTACCCACCCTTCCAACATGAAAGGGTCAGACGACTAGTCTCTTCCTGTACAAATAAGTGATTATGAGGGAAGAAGCCAGGTAATTATGAAAACCTAAGTTTAGCATTATTTAATGGCTTGATTACTTTAAAAGTTTCTGTGGGCATAGTTCTTCTAGATATTGACATAACTTAAAGCATAGTCCTTATATTCCTTATCTTGTAGTTACTTTCTTCTCACATATTTTCATTGCCTTACTGCCAGCCAGCCACAACCCATATGGTGATACTAGCATTTCATTTTTTATTCTGGCCGATTAAGTTAGGAATTTTCTCGCTTCTGAAGCCTTACAGCTGAATGTATTTATTTAAAATTAAAATATAAACCCCACTTAATCCCAGCTGTTATGAGTGAGTAAATTCTTCACATTTGCAAACAAAACTAACACAGCCATGAGTATCTAATCTATGTCAGAGTAGGCATGGGGCCATCTCCCTTCTTTCCACTCCCAGCCAAGGAGAGAAGGGCTCCTCACGCTAACCTGTTCTCTCTGAGAGGAGGAAGGAACACCTTCAACTTCAGTCATGGTGCATTCTCTCCTGGAGGGCCACCTTCTGCCTTCAGAGGAGACAGGTGTTCCTTGACACACCAGCTTCTAGTTGGTGTTAGGCTCCTGTTATAGAAGGGTTAACATACACATGTGTCATCTGTGTTTCTAGGTCAATGCACAGACTTGTCTAATCGAAAACAGAGCTGAAATAGGTGTCCAACAAAATCACAGAGTTGGAGAACTTCAGTGTCCCTGTTTTTTAAGGGAGATTCTGGGTACTTAGTCATCGTTTATAACATTGTTGCTAAGGAGCTGTTTACTCAGAATTCCAGGGAAGTGACTTATGTAGCTAACATATGGAGTTAGCTTCTGTCTCTTTGAATACATATAGTGTTCAAGCCAGTGTCTGGCTGCCTTGTTCTGTACTCTGCAGTTCAGCTCTGCCAAAGGGGAGAGAAGGAGATAAGGGGGAAGTCAGGCACACAGCCTGGTCTCCTGGTGTGTGAGAATAGCTCCATGTGCAGGCCTCCGGGATGCTGTGAGGAGTCAGCAGCTGACGCCTAACTGGTTGTAACTATTTTCCCCACCGTAGGATGATTCCAGCCCTGCCACTCCAGATGGGAATGCACCCTCCACTACGACGACCAGTGCCTTCACCATCCAGGAGTACTTTGCCAAGCGGATGGCGGAGCTAAAGAACAAGCCACAGGTCACAGCTGCAGGACCTGACCTCATTGAGACCCAGATGGAAAGGAAAAGGGGAAAGAAAAGAAAGAAGGAGGCAAAAGATAAAAACGTGGAGAATTACACCGAACCCAAGACCAAGAAGAAGAGAGACCAAGTTGATTGGCAGCTCAGAGACCCTTGTTGGGACGAGAATTCTGGTGTTTCTCCTGAGGATGGAGAGGATTGTCCTGTGGGCCAGGACATTGCCCCAAAGCCCAAAAACAGGAAGCAGAAGAAAAAGCTACTAAAGCAAGTTGAGAGAGCAGTGGATGCTACATTAGATGAAATGCCAGTGAAAAAGAAGAAGAAAGGTCCCAAATAAATTCTCTGGAGCCAGGGCCTTCCAGCCACTCAGATGTCAGGGTGCGGTGAGCAAACACCTTTGGCCTGAAGTCAAAGCAGAGTTCACCCAAGGGAGCTTTGACATGCCCAGGGGTTGCTGAGTCTCGCCCTCTCACCAGGTTTCCCCAGCGTATTCCCAGAGAACTTTCTAATGTTCCAAATCATGGCTCTCATAAACAAATAAATTTTCTTTTTAGACCATGAGCACTTCAGCACGAGTGTTTCTTCATATTTATTTGAACACATGGTTATGTGTGCGCACATGTGTGTGTAGGTATGTCACAGTCTGTATTTGCTCTTGATTTCCTTCAGTAACAATGAATTTTGCTTCCTCCTTAAGGATTTGGTCTAATTAAAGGATTAAGAGACAATAGTTTAGATTCAGATAGTTCTTTTTGTTCTGTAGCCAACCATACGTTTTTGCCAAGCAGGTATTATATGATTACATTCCCAAATCAGAGTTTTGTTTGGTTTAGTTTGGTTTTGATGGGGAAATTGTTTTAATACCCTCTCTTCCACTGAGCGATGATGGCCCTGTGTTCTGAGGTCTTATCCCCAGAACGACAGAGTTTAGGAAGTGAACAGACTCTGAGGACAGTGTGACCTTCCAGGTCTCTCAGGACGCCCCTCAGCTGTTCCTCACTGGGTATGGGCCATCAGATCTATTTCCATGTGGTTGTGCTTGAGGATAGTCCCCTGTCGTGGGCTGTGCCTTATTTGTAATGATCATGAGTTTCAAAAATACTGAGAATCTAAGGTCATGAAATTAATTTCCTCTGGAAGTCAGTCAGTCTCTAGCTTGGGACTGCCTTATGAAGTTCTTAAAAGTATAAATATTACATACATAGTAAAAGGTATCTTTCCATCCTGCTCAAACCAAAAGGTGTCACCTCGTTGTGTTTTTCCTGATGTCTCCCACACCCTGGCAAGTCTCCCTGTGTGCTGGTTAATCTTTCCCTGCGCAGCTTTGCTTCAGACTCCCTCGCGCCCTCTTTGGGAAACAAAGTGAAAAAGAAAACACTTGATTAAGTTTTGGGGATACAGGCCTCCTGTTTTCCCAGCCTCTTTGCCCTCTTCTACTTACTGTCTTCTCATCTCTTCCTTCTTTTCTTCTTCATCCTTTTTCCCTTTTACTCCCTCTTCCCTGCTCTCCCCTTATTTTTGCCCCCCCACTTTCTTGTACCCCCTTTCTAGCCACCTGCTCCCTGTGTCACTCTTACAGTTTGCTACTGTTTGGCCCACTCTGCCAGACCTGTGAGCGTAGCTGGGAGGGGCGGTGCGGTGGAGTAGGCTATATACTGTCCTCCACCTGATTTCTAGATTGCTCTGGGGTAGCAGGAACCAGAACTCCCACACAGGTTGATGACCTTTTGCACTTGATTCTAACTCTTGGGTCACACCTTACATATGAACCATGGCCCTGAAATGCTTAAAATTGAGAAAATACATAACATTTGGTTTTAAGTCTTATGAATTCTGAACAGTGCTGCTAATTATTTAAACACACACACACACACACACACACACACAGAGAAAAGTCTCAGGAATTCAGAGTTTGGGGTCTAGTTTCTATGATTTATCTTGGCCCCTAGAATTTAGAATCTCAGGCTATGGTCCAGTTTAATAAAGTACCCAAGACTATTTTTAAAACAGTTTTTCCATTTCAAAGTTTATTTAATTTTTAAGAGAGTGTGAGAAAGGGAAGGGCAGAGAGAGAGAGAGAGAGAGAATCCCAAGCTGGCTCCATGCTGTCAGCATGAATCCTAACTTGGGACTTGATCTCATGAACCGTGAGATCATGACCTGAGCCAAAATCAGGAGTTGGACGCTTAACTGACTGGGCCACCCAGGTACGCCAGACACCCAAGATTTTTAAAGTCACTTTTCTTTACAGAGGCACATGCTCAAGTTATCTCTTCTTGTTCTATCTTGTTTATGAAACTAGAGTTCCAGAAAGGAGTGGGAATGTATGAAACCTAAAAGAAACTGTCTTTTAAATATATATTCATATATATAGTTTTTTTTCTTTTTATTAACTTTTACTTATTTTACTAATAAAAATGAATGCCAGGAGAATACACTGAATTGTGTGCAGGAGGAGGAAGAAAATGGCTATTTAAGAAGCAGGGTACAGTGCACCTAGGTCAAATGGCGTGAAGGGGCCAGCTGGGAAGACCAGAGCCCAGAGGTGCTGAAGAGGCATTCTTTGGAATTCCAAGAAATGTTATGTATTTTCTCAATTTTAAGCATTTCAGGGCCATGGTTCATATGTAAGGTGTGACCCAAGAGTTAGAATAGCCACACCGCAAAATGAAGCACAACTTCCATAAAGCGAGACTGTAGACTGATGATATTTTATTATCACTTTTTGAGAGAGAAAGCATGAGCAGGGGGAGGGTCAGAAGGAGAGGGAGAGAGAATCTCAAGCAGGCTCCATATCCAGCACAGAGCCCACCATGGGGCTCCATCTCACAACCATGAGATGTTGACCTGAGCTGAAATCAAGAGTCAGACACTTAACTGACTGAGCTACCCAGGTGTCCCTGTGATGATTATAATTTTATTGGGCTGCAGAAATAAGTCCTAAATGGTTTTAATCATCAAATGGGTAGCCTGAGTTATAAGGCACATCTTCGGCAAATAGCAGACAGTATGACCATTTGCTTTGAAGGACATGAATATTTATTTTCTCGAGACATCCTCAGCTTTCATTTTGACATCCTCAGCTTTCATTTTTCCCAAGTGTCTCAGAACACTTAGTTTTTTGTATCTAAGTGGAAGTCAGAACAATGAAATAAATCCTTGAGAATTCATTTCATAGGCATATTTTTTAAATTGTTAACATACGAATCCTATTTTTTTTTTTGCCTTAAATTATCTTGGTAAAAGTATATTAACTTTGTATCCTTAAGTACTTTTCTTCAGTTTTAAGAGGGAAGATAGGTTCTCAGGAGATTATCCCACAAGGAGGCTCCAAAATGTTGTCTTGTGGTACCCTTCTATTCTTTTTTTTAATGTGTTAATTTAATAGATAATAATTATTACTATGTGAAGTCCTGTGTGACAATTCATGTAGTCCTCACACAACCCAGTAAGATAGCCATTACTGTAATCCCCTTTAACAGATAAATTCTGTTTTGTAAGAGGACCTCTTTCAATTTGTTTAACTGGATTAATGCTGCTTTCAGAAAACCAGATGCTTCAGTCCCCTCTCTACGCTGGTCACAAACCCTTACTCCTTTTGGTCTTGCCTTTGCTACACTCAGTTTCACCTGTTGTTAGCAAAATTTTCTATTGCTGTTGCTCTTATCACATGTCACTGTTACTTTTATTTATTCTTGATTTATTAAAAAAAAACACATGTCACCCATTTCTTCCATCCTCGCGTCTTGCAACCACCAGTCTGTTTTCTGTATCCATATGCTTGGTTTTGTTTTCTTTGTTTTTTATGTTTTTTAGATTCCACATGTAAGAGAGATCATATGGTATTTGTCTTCACTGACTTATTTCACTTGGCATAATGCCCTCAAGGTCCATCCATGTTCTTGTAAATAGCAAGATTTCATTTTTTATGGGTGAATAATATTCTTCTCTGTGTGTTTATAAATTTCTTTATCCATTCATCTATTGATGGACACTTAGGTTTTTTTCCCCCATCTTAGCCATTGTAAATGCTCTAGTGAACATGGGGTGCATATCTTTTCAAATTAGCGTCTTTGTTTAGATAAGTGCCCAGAATGGACCTGCTGAATCATATGGTAGTTATATTTTTAATATTTTGAGAAACTTCTATACTGCTTTTCATAATTGTTCCCCAGTTTACATTTCCACCAGCAGTGCACAAGGGTTCCTTTTTTCCTACTTCTTCAGCACGTGTAATTTTTTGTCTTTTTTTTAAATTTTTACAGAGCTTTTTTTTTTTTAAGTTTTATTTATTTATTCTGAGATAGAGAAAGAGAGAGAGAATCTCAAGCAGGCTCCACACCATCAATGCAGAGCCCGATGCAGGGCTCAAACTCATAGAACCATGAGATCATGACCTGAGCTGAAACCAGGAGTTGGATGCTTAAATGACTGAGCCACCAGGCACCCGTCTTGTCTTTTTGATAACAGCCATTCTAATAGGGGTAGGTGGTAATCTCATTGTAGTTTTGATTTGCTTCTCCCTGATTGATGACATTGAGCATCTTTTTGTGTACCTGTTGGCCATCTGTATATCTTCTTCAGAAAGATGTCTATTCAGATCTTCTGTGCATTGTTTAGTCATATTTTTTCTTTTTATTCTTTTTTTGCTACTTAGTTGTATGAGTTGCCATTGAGTTCTTTATATGTTTTGATATTAGCTTATCAGATACATGATTTTCAATTATTTTCCTCCCCTTCAGCAGGTTGCCTTTTCATTTTGTTGATGGCTTCCTTTGCTGTGTGGAAGCTTTTTAGTCTGATGTAGTCATACTTGTATATTTTTGCTTTTATTGTTTTTTGCTTTTGGTATCAGATGTTTTAAAAATCATCACCAGGATCTACGTTAAGGAGCTTACTGCCTATGTTTTCTTCTATAGTTTTATGATTTCGGGTCTTATGTTCAAGTCTTTAATCCATCTTGACTAAGTTTTTGTCTATGGTGTAATACAGTGGTGCAGTTTCATTCTTTTCTGTCTGGCTACTCAGTGTCCTCAATACCATTTATTAAGGAGACTGTCCTTTCTCAATTGTACATTCTTAGCTCTTATGTCATAAATTGATTGAACATATATATGTAGGCTTATTTTTTTTTTAATGTTTATTTTGAGATAGGGAGGATGGGTTGGGGCAGAGAGAGGTAGATAAAGAATCCTAAGCAGGTTTCATGCTCAGCACAGAGCCTGAAATGTGGGTCCTAGATCATGACCTGCACCAAAATCGAGAGTCAGACACTTAACCAACTGAGCCACCCAGGCACACCTGTGTGGGCTTATTTCTAGGCTCTCTGTTCCATTAACCTGTGCATCTGTTTTTATGACACTATCATACAGTTGTAATTATTACAGCTTTGCTAATAGACTTTAAAATCAGGGAGTGTCTTCTTCCAACTTTGTTCATTCTCAAGATTTCTTGACGAATTCAGGGTCTTGGGTGGTTCCATACAAATTTTAGAATTGTTTGTTCTTTTTCTGTGAAACATAGGACTTTTGAGAGGGAATGCACTGAATCTGTACATTGCT